ATATATATATATATATATATATTTGTGACCCTCCACAGGATTTTAATGCTAAAGGTGAAAGCACGCGCACGACACACTTTCACTTTAAAACAAAAGAATTTATTTTAACACGCTTTAGCACGCTTGCAATCTTGCCTCATTAGCAATTTCTTTTGTTTCAGAGGACACGCTTGAGACAATTAAGCGTGAGCAAGTCGAACAAAAGAGCGTGTTAAAGTTTTCAAACCAAAGCTCCGTGCGAAAAAGCACAACACGCTTTCAGTGTGCGCAAAACCACGCAAGGCGTGTTATCTATAAGCTAAATAAATTTCCCCTACAAAAGGGAACCGTAAATGATTATGAACGGCACCCTTTTTTGGTAACTATAGAGAAAGAAAAAGTTCTACCTAAGCGATCGCAGCGATAGTATCTGATTGAAAAAACGTTGTCGCTTGAAAGGTATAAACAGTGAACGGTGGGACCTACTGGATTTATGGGTAGAAATTACAAGGGTTTCAGCATTAGCTTCCAATTGAAAGTCTTAGGAAGGTGAGAATTTCATCGGATTTTCGGTTCCGAAAATTTTAAGATTCCTTTCTCTACGAAAAATAGCTAGGGATAGATAAGCTTCGAAAATTGTATATGCATGGAACGGTCATCTAGAAATGTTTAGCCTTCCTCAACCTATAGAAAATTCTAGGCAGTTTTTGTTTCTCCGATTTAATTACCGTCGTTCGTCTCAGCATGGCTTAAAGAAATATATTAAACTAATTTATTCAACTTCATTTCTCTGTGCATTACTGCTAATAAATATTCCGGTACGTGACATAACTATAATTTTCAGGCGACATAACTTTAGTGCCTCGCATGCGATAGCAGGCCTCTTTGCGATTCCGGTCAACAGCCGACAGCCGGAGAAATTGGTTTTCACTGATCTCGCTTTAATTCCAGGCTAGACGACCATTAAGTGGTGATTTTCAAATGGCTATAGTTACGATCTTACGATCTTACATGTCTTACCCCAATTGCACGCTAAGCGTGCTATAATTCGCACACTTACCGTGACATATGGCACGCTACAAAAAAACAAAAGGTCTAGCGTGTTAAATTTATCAAAACAAAGGCAAGTGTGTCCGTCTTTGTTTTTTCAATTAAATATGCGCATATCCGTGATCTACGACACGCTAAGCGTGTCGTGCAAGCGTGTCGTGAGCGTGCTTTCACCTTTAGCATCAAATTCCTGTGGAAGGTCACATTTAATGATCAGTGACATTTTCTATGTAGCTTCACTGAGCAACCTCGCTTTAATTTCTTTAGAGCGATTGCATGCAACACTTTACCCATTTAGGCATTGCCTAGCTGGGGAAAGGACATACTGTAAGATTATCATTCTTGGTTGGTTTGGGGCTTTGACTTTGTCATCTGTGCTCAGCGTTATCCACATGAATGACGCAGTTGCAGGTCGGTACACCTGGGTAATTTACATTCCCCTTGTCCTTGTGGTTCTCTTAACATCTTATGTTATTATTATTTCGAAAGTGACGAGAAAAACTTCTGCCCAGCAGTTAAGGTCCGTTATTTCAGCCCGAAGAAAACTTTCAGTAACTTTATTCATAGTCAGCGCTGCCTCTACACTTACTCTTCTTCCCTGGGTAATAACCACTCTTATTTCAATATTAAGTTCAGGTTTTTCACGGATTCAATTCTCACCACCTGCACAAGGTAGAATAGGTAGCATAGTACTTGCATTTTACTACCTTAATCCGATATTGAATCCACTGATTTATGCCATTAGATGGCTAGAGTTCAGGCGAGCTGTAAAGGGCTTTTTCTGCAGAAATAACTCATCTCCAGCGCGGGCCCGACCTTCGGAAATTCGAGCAATGCAAACATGGACAGGAAATACAACCTTCGGTGATTGAATAATGCGATTGTATTTAATACTTTGAAAATAAAAGAGTTTTCTCACATTTCGAGGAAAGTCTTTATTTAACGACGAACTGGTTGCGTTAGACTCATGAAAATAGCATTGAGACATTATTCTTTGAAGACTGTAATGAGGACGGACATAGTCAAGGGTGGGTGCGTTTCCAAGTAAATGGCAAATCAGCGAGCTGTACCAGAGGTTTAAAGACCTTCAAACTAGGAAAACAAGTATTCGATATATTCACCATTTAAAATTTCTTGTCTCAAAACGAAAAATAAGTTAAGGGAAACAAAATGTACAACAGCAGGGCCAAAACGCTTCAAAACTGACGGTTAATTTCTTATCAAGGGTGTTTATGGGGGATGCCTACTCTGTCCCCTTTATCCTCTCGTTTTTCTTATACAGAACTTTGTAAGTTTTGTTTGTTGACTTGTTTAAGACTTATTGCCTTCAGGCAGCTGGCCATTTAAATGTTTTAAAACGGGTAAGCTACATTATATTGTTGATTAAGTCATTGATATATTTATCTACGCGCAAGCTGTTTTTTATTAAGCAATATTTTTTTTTTGTCAAAATTTAAAAATTAACTGGAGGATAAATTGAAACCACTCTATTTCTCCCCTATATTGTTATACATGTAGCTATAAACCATGCCCTCCAATAACCCTATCTACTTATGCAAATGAATAATAAAACAAGTCAAACAACTACTATCCGACAGAAGGCCCGTAACTACTAACAAAAGAAAGTACGGAGGCTTGTTACCACAGTAAATACCATTGTAATCGATCTGTAGGCATTTTCTATTGGCTTTTCCCAGTGGAACATGCTCTAGATCTCCAATTCACCCCTCAATGACTCATTTACCTTCCACTTTTTTTGAGTTTGCAAACTAATGCAAATGACTAACAAAACAAGTGAAACAACTGCCCTCCGGCACAAGGCCTGTGACTAATAAAAACGGAAAATCGGTCTATTACCAAATTTAACACTATTCTAATCGATCTGTAGGCGCAATTACCATCAACTTTTAATGGCCCCATCTAAACGCCATCTAATGTTTATCAACCGATTCAATCGAATGCGTCCGCTTTATGCCGGCAGAGTATTGCAAGACTGTTTGAAGTGTGATCATTCGCACCTTTCTGATCTGAAGTGGAGAAAAAGGTAGAAGAATGACTATTGGAAAGTTTAATTTACTCGCTTTCTCTCTTTTATCTCGTTCAAATGAAAATGCAGCTGTTATTTTTTTCGTCGCAAGAGAATTTTCTTAAAAGAAGAAGGCTGGCTATGGGCGCACATTTTAATTTCGCCTAAATGTGTTCGTTCAGGATTTCGGGAAAAAAATGCTTTAGGTAACTAAAACAAGGTAAAGGGAGAATCAAATCATGCGCATGCGTTGGTTCGTGTCTTGATAAGGGAATCCGTTTAACAGTTATTGTGCTCGGCCATGTCGGTAGAGAAAGTGAGGCTCATCTACATTACTATTAAAAATATCATATAGCTTACAAGGCACCGACATGAAAAAATTTATACTCCGGGATCGACGGTACGAACAACTGTTGCGTGTTCACACTGCCACTTAAAGGCTGGTTTGGAACCCTGTCCGCAATGCAACGAAATCAGCGTGTACTGCCTCAACTTTAATGAAACATGGCACTTAAGCTTCCTAGTAAATTTAAAATGTATAAAACAGTTTTGCACATTGTACAAAAAATGGCGTCATGTTGTAACAATTCCCTTTCTCTTTGAAATAATCGTTTTGAGAGTGTTTCAACTTGCTTGGATAACAATGTATTATTCTACCCTAAAAATTAAAGGTGATCTCGTCATCAAGCGTGTAACTTACGAATATGCTTAAATCTCCGCTCATTTCTCATGGACTCACTTAAATTGCAGTTTGTTAGTTTTTGTGACTTACAAAATTCGGTTACGCCTCGTTTTGTAAAAACAGTTTGCATAGAGTGTATGAATATCACTAAAAACGCCTCGGGTGCATGATTAGAAACGTGATTTGAAACCCAGCAAAACTCCCTTCTTTTCACTCAATATATTATATATTAGGTGTGTCAGGATGCATTAATATACCTCAAGTAATCTTATCAGGAAAAAGTGAGACTTTACGTCCCTAAAAGCCGTTTTTGAACCGTCCCCATAGGGTTTTTTTGTGACATAAAAATAACATAAAGAAAGCTACTATTGGTCGTTTCCACCTTCGCTGTACGTTGGTGATATATTCTTGATGCATCGATTGCTGGTTGAAGGTGCAATATCCTTGGCTGTTCTAGCATTTACTTAGTTCACCAATGGCTTTTACATAGATAAAACGTTCTTTTGATTAGGAGGGTATACTGGAGATTGATTGCCAAGAGTTTGAAAGACACGATGAATATTACCAGGCAAGTCAAGATCAAAGAATCATCATGGCTAATTTAAACAATCATTATAAATACAGAAAAAAAGTACCTCTAAATGTCGGAGTTGAAAAAAAAAGAAGTAGAAATCAGTAGTCTCTTAATAATGATAGAAAAAATATTTTCTAGACCCAAATCTCGCACTGAGAAAACATTTTTTAAAGGTTCTTGCAAATTTGATTTTATGAAAAAACTGTCCGTAATTAGCAACATTTCGTGCAAAAAACAATCCAACTTGTTATTGCACTTGTGGCTCGGCGCAGTTATTCAAGGTCAATACCTCCTACGTTTGAGAATAAACTCCGTTGCTATAAACAAAGATTTGGGAAAATTGCCGGGGGTGAGCACAGTTGTACTAGATGAAGATGAAAACTTGTTATGATAAGGAATTCAATGACATCGCAGTTGTCATAGCAACGGAATGATGTCATTACCTATTTTACGTGCAGCAGGGAGCTTTTTTTTTTTTGAACTTGAAAATGTCGTCAAGATGACATTCGTTCTTACCCGCGTTATTTTTTACTTGTTTCTGTATAACTAGACCTTTGCTTATATATTTTATTTCTGTACTTATTCTCTAATAATTCCTTATTATTATTTTTTCTTATTCCAGATCCTATTTAAACAGAAAGAAAAACAGTACTGAAATAATTGTTTAAAAGATATCTATTAAAGCGACAATGGACATCTGGCGTGCAGTGTGGCTTACTCAGTTTATCATTGTGTTTATAATCAACGCCTTCACTCTCTTCGTCTTTGTAAGGAACCGCCATCTACGCAGGCGCAACAAGTACTTGATAATGAACCTAACTGTGGCTGATTTACTGATAGCAGCCATTTCAGGACCTGAAAACATTCTGCTTCTTAAAGCAAGCAAAAGACCGAAAAGAGGCTTCGGGGTTTTACATGTATATTTAATAATCTCGGACATGTGTTGGATAGCTTCACTGGCTAACCTAGTTTTAATTTCTTTAGAGCGATTGCACGCAACACTTTACCCATTTAAGCATTGCTTAGTTAGGAAAGGTATTTACCATAAGATTATCATTTTTAGTTGGTTCGGAGCTTTGACTCTAGCATGTGGTCTACAAATCAGTCGCATGATTGATGTCCCCCTCGCAGATCGATACCCCTGGGTAATTTATATTTCTCTTACCCTTGCCGTACTAATAACATCTTATGTTATAATTATGTCAAAATTTATTAGAAAAGCTCATGTCCAGCAGTTAGGGCCAGTTATGTCAGCAGAAAGAAAACTTTCAGTAACTTTATTCATAGTTAGTGCTGCATCCACACTTACTCTTCTTCCCTGGGCAATAATTATGTGTATCTCGATAAGTTCAGACCGTTACTTATGGGTTGAGTTCACACCTATGAAGATAGCATCAACATTTTATCTCCTTAATTCTATATTGAATCCAGTGATCTACGCAATTAGATTGACGGAGTTCAGGAGAGCTTCGAAGGAGCTTTTCTGCAAAAACACTTCGTATACAGGAAGGCAGGACCAACCTATTGGATTGCAAGCAATGTAGACATGGAACTATATGCAGTTTCGTGGACTTTTATCAATTATGTGTTAACATTAAATGCATCCATCGACAATTAAGATCCCTCCAACGTAGACAGTAGCTTTGTTTAAAAATGAAGATTGTGTTCCACCGAAAGAAATTTGCATAAATAATTGATAATTCGCAGGTATTCATCGCTCACTTGTCAACAGTCAGTGATCTACCAATCAGATCATGATATAAAGAATTTCTAAAGGCTCTCTCTCCTTTTCTTCTCTTCCAGGCAACGCAAGGCTTGCTTCGCTGGCCAATTTTCTTTTTCGCCCCTCTCCACTTCTTCGCTGGCTATATAACCTACACAGAGAATGAAATACAAGACTTTGTCAACTCCAGTCAATCAGTAGGGGTGATTACGACCAACTTTTAATATTGAAAATTTAAAAAAAAACAATGACGACATCTGATCGAGGTAAAACAGCTGTTTCGAGAAAGGTTGTCGGGAGAACGCGTTTAAGTGCACGCGTCAACCCCTTATGGTATTGTGGGTAGTGTTTTTAAGTTCGTGGTTCTCAGCTTGTTTCAGTATTTTATTGAAAGCTTAGAAAATGGTGTATGTAAATACCTTTGCCAGACAGTGAAAAACAAGAAATTAGGTTCGAAATCCACAGTGTCAAGAAGTTATCTCATTTTGAAACTGTTATTAATTTGAAGCAATATACATCTGATGTTGTTAAGTGATAAGGAATCTTCTTCCCAGAGAGCGAGTTCAACTGCTTCAGCCTAAAGAAAACTTTCAGTAACTTTATTCAAAGCGCTGCTTCTACACTTACTCTTCAGTGGCAGATCCAGACCTTCAGATAAGGGGAAGGGGAGGGGGTGGGGAGCAAGGCGGCGGTCATCCAGACCCTGAGATAAGGGGGAAGGGAGTCCTTCAGGCCTCAGTTGTTTGGTCTAAAAATAAAGTGGGAAGCGGGCCCCCAGGCCCCTCCCCTGGATTCGCCACTGTTCTTTTTCCTTACTTTTGTGAGTTCACTTCACTCCGTTGGTATCATATCTCATTACAAGCGCAACAATAGACCGTTCCAAGGAATTTTTTTTTTTTTTTTTTTTTTTTTTTTT